TTCTGTGTCTTGGGCTGGTTGTGGGTCCTCCGGGGCGGGGGGGGGGGGGTTCTTGTAGCCAATGATGTTCTTTAGGCTCTTCCACACCAGATGAGGGGTCATTGATTGAAAGCTGGTTCCTCAGGTTTTCAGAGTAGCTCCTCTTTGCTGCTCTGTTCTCCCTTGTCAGTGTGTTCCTGGCCTGGCTGTACAGAGTCCTGTCCCCACTTCTGTAAGCCTCCTCTTCGGCACGACGAAGCTGCTTGAGTCTTGCTGTAAACCAGGGCTTCTTGTTGTTGTATGTGCAGAAGCACTTTTTGGGCATGCACACATCCTCACAGAAACTGATATAAGATGTCACAGTGTCAGTGAGTTCATCCAGGTCTGTAGCTGCAGCCTCAAATTCACTCCAGTCTGTGCAGTCAAAGCAGGTCTGTAGCTCTGACTTAGCCTCCTCAGTCCAGCTCTTCACTGTTTTGACTACAGGCTTCGCAGCTTTAAGTTTCTGCCTGTAGGTTGGAATAAGGTGGACTATGCAGTGATCAGAGAGTCCGAAGGCTGCGCGGGGGAAAGAGCGATAGGCGTCTTTTATTGTTGTGTAGCAGTGGTCCAGTGTGATTTTGTCCCTGGTGGGACAGGTAACATGCTGTCTGTATTTGGGCAGTTCTTGGGTGAGATTTGCTCTGTTAAAGTCACCTAGAACAATGAGTGGAGAGTTGGGATGTTCTAGCTCCATGCTAGTTATCAGTTCTGCAAGTAGCTGTACATGGGGACTAAACACATATAATAGGATATGAGCCAGAGCCAGAGCATAGCTATGACCAGTCCCAGTGTTTCAAAAACTTTTGCTGTTGTAGTGTCCTTGCTCATATATTTGTTGCCGACAATCCTGAAGAGGTAGTATTTTATGCTTATTACAAACTATGAACTTATTCAGTAAACTGAAATAAATGACAACAATGCCTAATAAAAAACTGAAACCTTGGTTACAATAAAATGTTGATCTTTAGTATCATTAACAGGCTTGATAAGACTGCTCACACTTACCCTTCAATGTTGGCTGGCATTTGATAATTTGTAGTTTTAGAAAGAATTTTCAGTAGCATCAGCTCTGGGAGGATAAGGCCAGAATAAGAAGTAAATAAACAGTAAAAGTAAATAAACAGAATAAGAGGGGTACATAAAGCCAACATACCGCTCCCTTTAGTGCCATAAGGTAATGCAAATTTTGATGTAGGCTCCCGCCAGAAGAAATCCTCCATTTTCAAAAAGAGCTTCGTCTGTCTGCTAATGCTACATAAAAAAATGTCAGAGAAGGAATTATGACATAATACTGCAGTGCAAAGGGTTTCGTTGTATACTACAGGAGGGTTTGCAGCTGAAAAAGGAAGAAGGATACGAATGAGATATAAAACAGCATGGGCGAAGAAAACTGTTTACTTTAATTTTTGGCTATAATATAGCCATCAAACCACACAACAGACATACCAACTGTGTTGCCAAACAGTACAGGGTTTATAATGCCTCTTGGAAAATTGCTGACTGATGCCTTAAGTTTCCCAAATGTTTTGGTGTCTATTAAGCAGGTAAACCAGACTCTTTCTAAGCAAGCCAGCCATTTACATGATGTCATTTAATTCCCTCATTAAAAACCTCTGTTGGCATTTCTCTGCTGAGGAGAAGGAAATGAAAACAGTAACATTCACAGAGCCTGTGGAGTGAGACAAATGTGGCAGGTTGTCATGTGAAACAGTTGCTTCTCTGTGTGCACTGGCTTCAGACTACAGCTGTTTATGACCCACTGTTGGTGGCAGTGAGTCTTTCAGACATTTATTACCCTTGTGTGCCAGCTTGCTCTCCATAGGAGATCGGGACAAATCTCTGGGGAGCGTGTCTAATTAGGGAAATGTCACTATTGCCTGGAGGGCCTCTATCTCACTGTAATGACAGATATGAAAAACCAAGACAAACAGGCCATAATACTAATCCAAATCATATATTTACACAGGGATAAACATGGGGATTATGACTCCTGACTGTCTGAATAGTCAAGGAGTCAAGGTCTACTGGACTGAAGAACCATTTCATCAATTCCACCTGAGAGACTGAAACTTATGATTTAAATGGGAAAATATTTTTTGTAATAAAGTCATTTTCTTTAACACTAAATTTGGCTTTTCCTTCATGACTGCTGAAGACAGGTCCCAACACTTCCAAGAAACCTTAGAAGTATTTTCAAATAATAGATATGGGTATATCTTTGTCCCTTAATAACCCAACCGCTCCCTTCAATTAAAAAAAAAAACAGCCTTGCAATTACTTACTTAATGTTAAGGCGCTCCCAATTCTTCTGGGTTAGCAAGTCACTACAAGGTGACTGGATAGAACTCAGAGACTCAAGGGTGCCTGTGTAACTGAAAAACAGACAATCACCACAACTGCATGAAAACTACTGCTGGGTCCCTAAGTGGCCAGAACAGTCCAAAAGTGCAAGAACTAGTATGTGTGAGGGCCTAAACTGACTAGCACAAGGTTTCTGCAGATTTCATCAAGTTAAATTTGAGACTTTTTAACACCCTTTTTAGACGACAGCAGTTTGACTGACTGACTGCTGTCAGTAACACATGTAACCTGCTCATGCAATGATAAATGAATAATAAAACAAACATATGTAAAAGCACAATCAATTTGTAAGACCTTTCAAAATTGTATTTAAGACCTTTTTAAGACTTTTTAAGGCCTAAAATTCAGATTATTAGATTTTAGACCTTTTAAGGCTTAAGGACCAATGGAAACCCTGCAGCACATATATGTCAAACTCAGGCCTGCGGGCCAAATCTGGCCCATGGTGTAAGTATATTTGGCCAGCGAGATAATTTCAAGTATTTATTAGCGCTGGCCCACCAGTATATATTGCATGCACTGCTAATACTGCGAATCCCAGAATGCTTTGCTAGTGCACTGGCGTGTCAATCAAGAGCCGCAAGCACCTTCAGAAGGTAGAGGGGATGAAAAGAAGTCTGGTTTTGTTGCAGAAAATGCTCACAAAAGCAAACTCTCAAAGTGAGGCTGCTGTAAAGGCTAGTTTTATTGTGGTAGCAGAGATAGCTAAATCAGCCCGGCCCATTAATGAGGGAGATGTGTTTTTTATTTGAAATTTGATTTCTCATGTATGTATAATAGGGATGTCAACGTTAACGTATGATTAATCAAAGTTTTTTTAACGCGTTACTATTTTTTTTTACGCAAATTAATCATTTGATAAGTATTGACCCAAACTCCTTGCCGTCATCGCAGCGCGGATGGTTATCTATTGTGTAATAAGGCCAGGTAACGTGACAGCAAACGTGTGTTACAACACGATGGCAGAAAACACAACGCTAGGTGTGCTGAGCAGCAAGTTTCATTATAAAAAGCTTCCAGATGGAAGTTTGGATGAAACCAAAGTTGTGCGCATTTATTGTAATGATGAACTGTCTTTTCACCAAAGCACAACAAGTTTGAAATACCGTCTTCGGGCCAAACATATTTTGGTAGAGGTTAGTAAAGATGCCAGTGCTGATACAGCATCAACAAGCCGTGCTCTTTTATCTGAAAATGTTAATAAGCTAGTCTGTCTGAGCAACTCGCTGAAAGAAGAGTATATTGTATGATGTATCAGTATGAACCTGGCTCTTATTCATGCACTATAGCTATAATTTTCAGCTTCGAGTCAACTTGTAGTATTTCTCATCTTCTTGGATAATTGTGCAAAAATAGATTGCATAGATAAGTGTCATTCTGGAAACTATAGATAAGATACTGTTAATTTATGCTATTTTACAGACGTGAAGTCTGACGGGCTTGAACTGTTCACTCATGTCTGAAGCATGAGTAAGGGGTTTTTTACAACAGAATCAGGGAAG